GGAACGCTCCGTCTCGCAGTCGAGCAACGTCTCGTACCGCTCGCACCGCAGCGTCCGCACCGGCAAGGCCCGCGCAGGGCTGCTCAACCACCACCACCTCAGCAGCTCCGCCAGCAGCATCGCCGAGAGCGACAAGTCCCTCACCAGCTTCCCCAGCTTCTCGCCCGAGCTGCCCGCCACCGACCGCTTCGCCGACGCCTACAGCGACCTTCGTCAAGACCACGACCGCAACCACGACCACGACCATGATAACAACCCCGACCACAACCAGCTCAAGGCCGCCATCCGCCAGCCCGACAGGCCCGCCCGCGTCAAGGCCCTCAGCGGCGCCAGCGCCGCCTCCTCCATCGTCGACAGCCTGACCTGGCGCAACTCGGCCCGCGAGGCCCTCTTTGAGGATGCGCCCCTCTCGCAGACGGTCCCCGGCGCCCTGCACAAGGCCGACGACAAGCACCTCGAGCGCCTCGTCGCTAGGCACGGGGCCGTGTCGCTCGTCAGGCAGATCGCCGGCGACCTTGCGCAGCGGGACGCCCAGATTGCCAACCTGCGGCGGCGCGCCGACGAGCGCGAGCGGGCGCTGCGCAAGATTATACGTGAGTGCGGCCTGTCCAGCCTCGAGCTCGAGACGAGACTCAAGGTGGTGGAGAGCGAGCTGCGCAGCAACGGGCAATTCCAGCGGGACGGCGGCGGGCTCAGCGACCTCATGAGCGACGCCATGCGGGACACAGTTACGGAGAGCGCACTCGGCGAGACGGATGCGGCTGGCGGTACGATTCGGGCCAGCAGCGTCGCCTCTGCGCCGGGAAACAGCTCGGAGAGTCCAAAGGGGGCCGGCACGCTCAAGGGATGGAAGGACTATCTCTGGGGCGGCACGTCTAAGAAGACGCCTTTGAGAGACGGATCCAACAGGTCGACTGTCATACGATCGCATTCGAGCCTCGGCCAGCGACCGCCGCTGCAGGACGACCTCTTTGAGCCTCCGACCCAGACGACCAGCAACTCCGGTAACAACAGCTCTAGCCGGCCGTCTAGCATACACTCGGCCTCCACGCCCGAACGGAAATCCATCGCCAGCTTGACGCTGCGGCTCGTTGCCGGCGGCGCCGTCGCGAGTCGCGAGGCCGAGGCCAGGGGGCGTGCCGCGAGCAGTGCTGCCCGGTCGGAGGCGGCCAGGACGGGGTCCGTTGCCAGCAACCGCACCAGCCGCTCGTCGCGCGCCGTGTCTGTTGCCGGCGGCCCCAAGGCGCTCATGGCTATGGGCCGGTCCACGCCGTCGACGGCCTCGGCCAGCGCCAAGCTGCAGACCCAGGAGGTGCGAGGCATCGGCTCCGGCAGCTCACCCGGCTCGTCCTCCCTGCGGCCCGATAACTTTGGGCCCGTCGAGATGGACGCCATCCTGCCTCCCGAGTCCCAGCCCCCGACGCTGACGCAGATGTACAACAACTACCCCAACAGCGAGTACCTCACGGACCGGTTCGGCTTCATATACGACCAGCGGCGCAAGAAGCGGCAGCGAGAGGCTTCGCAGATGGCGCACAACATCCGCAACGGCGGTCGCCGAGAGATGCTGGGCAACGGCAACCGGGCAGGCATCCTGCCCAACGCCATGGACGAGCCGCCCAGCCCCAAGATGAGCGTGTCGAGCGAGCCGCGGCCCGGCAGCCCCAGCTCGCAGGAGGAGAGAGGTCCAGGGGAGGATAAGGCGAAGCGCTGGCAGGACTACCTCAAGATCGCGACGTTTCCCACCGAGCTGCTGAGCCACACGCCGGGCATCAGCGCCACGACCGTGTCCGTGACCGAGGGCACCGACGACCGGGCCAGCACCACGTCCAGCCACCGGCTCGTTGAGCGCTCGGCGCGGTCGCCGGCGATCACGCCAACCGATTCGGGGCTCATGCCCCTGGCAAGCACCACGACGGCCATTGACAACGAGACGACGCTCACGCAGCCGCCGTCGGAGCAGCAGCAGCAGCAGGACTCGACGTCGGGGATGCTCGTCAAGGAGGATGCGGAGCCGGTCAAGCTGCTCCTCCAGCAGCTCAGCGACCTGCACGACTCTCTACAGCGGGACAAGACGGCGCAGTGGAACGAGTTTCTGCGCAAGGTGAGGGCGGAGAGGCACCGCGAGGGCGAGGCCGCTATCGCCGCGGCCACGGCGGCGGCGGAAGCCCGATACGAGCGGCCGGGTATCATCCTGCCCGAGGCCCGGGTGGCGGACGGCGAGATGATTGGCATCTCCAACCTGGGCAACAAGGGCAAGGTCGGGCGGGCCAAGTGGAACGGCTTCAAGGCACTGGTGCTGGGCGGCATCCCCGTGGCGTACCGTGCAAAGATCTGGGCCGAGTGCTCCGGGGCGGCGGCGCTGCGCATCCCGGGCTACTACGACAGCCTGGTGTCGCAGAGCGGCGAGGGCGACGACGC